CACCTTATTGAAGACCTGCCAGTTGAGAAAGAATAGTACATTTATTGAGACTTGGTCTTGACAGAATTAAAGTAATTTTACAGGAATGGGGAATATGCAGAAACAAAATAGTCTAGATTCTACCATTCGACGTCAACATTTACAATCTCAAAAAGAGTGCATTATGCCGCCCTGAAAGGTATATAGCGCACGAACATCGTGTAATGTGAATGGGTTAACTAAATCTTCCTATTCACACATTCTCATTCCTACTAATGCAACATAATGTAAGCGAGGGATGAAAATAATAAAAAGTAATTCGGTCTTTGTGTGTAAATGAACTCCGATAGACCAAATGACTTGAAATGAGTTCAAAATGTCCAAAAGTTGGTGGGTCAGAGTATATCGGTTAAAAAAAGTTAATGCAAAGAAATGTTATGTTTCAAGGAATCTCTTATTTTATAGATGTTGGGTTTACTTCCATTTCGAGTTGAAATGCTTGAAGAAGCGATCTCAAAGTCCATTCCACCAGACGACAAAGGGAGATTCCTCTTGGCAAATTATCGATTTAATGCTGTATATGAGATAATCTCTTGCGATTCCGATGAAGACTTGCCTATCTTTCAGTATTCTTTTAATAATATTCAAGCTAATGAGTCAAGGTAAAAAATAGTTTTGATGATACCCTGCTCTGATGATGTTCGTCAAACGACCCTAAAAGGCAAATGACAGTGACACGTCATGGAAACAAAGGCTCTGTTTGGTTGTGGGCCTAGATTGGATTGCGTGTGAAAGAGGCGCTAAAAAACCGACCCACATCGGAGGTGCCATAGAGCATGCCCTGCCAGATGCGGCTCATGTCGCGCAAATTGAAGATATAATGAAACTTGGATGGCGTCGGTAGCATTCGCTGTTTGGAGCTTTGCCAGACGATCCTTGTCATCGGAACAAGACGTTGGACCAACTTCTGTACAGCTTCAGGAAAACCTCGTGACTCCGAAAAGTAGCCGACTCCGATACAACTGAATATCTTGTCAATTGATGAGTTGCTTGGCAGAGTGCAGTTGAAGATACAGAATTGTCGCTTGAGGCGTTGTGGAATGTCGTTTCGCCCACCGCCTGGAGTGTTCATCGCGGCGATGAACTGGAAAGAACAGGAATAATGGTGGTTTAAGTTAAGTTGCTATCGACAATCTCAAAAAGGAGTGAACGTTTGACAGTTATTTAGTTATTTTCCATTTTTATTTGTCTATTTGAAGCCTTAGGGGTAGGAAAATAAGCTTTACGGTATATTTATGCATAAACACATATTCACACAAGTATGCATTTATTTTTGAATATATTCAACACATCATCATCGGGAAATAAAGTTTTTCAACCGACCAAGTGAACAAATATGCGAGATAATTCTAATTGATTTAGTGTCAATTACAAATTGACGCCAGGTTGCGTGTAAAACGAACTAGAAATTCTGCTATTAATGCTCAAGATTATAGAATAGTGGAGCAGACACACCAACTATCACTAGAATATTGCCACTTAAGCATGTATTAGTGCTTTTAATGCCATTAAGTTATATATATATAGTAAAATATATTAAAAATTAAATGACAACCCTCTAGTAACTATGGCCAAGCGAAAGAAGGTTAAATTGAATATTGGAGGTGAAAAAAAGAGCGATTGGTGATTAAATTAGATTAAAAATCTGGTGTAAAAAGAGAAAATATCGTTATAATAGTAATGTAAAAATTGGCAGACAGGCTGGAATTTATGAATTAACTTTATGCAATATTTTACAACACACAAAGAAAATAAAGGAAATAATCAAGCGGCATCAATTTCAGGCGGTTTGAAATCCAGCTCTAGAAATGGAGTTATTACAATGATGGTGATGGAGTGGATTTCATTAGAGTGAATATAAAATTGTAATCAGTAGCGAATTCCACAAACATTAAAAATTGTTGCATCGAATTTTTCTGACTCTGCTTTGCAACTTGGTCATATTGGCAGGAAGATCTAGAGGAACGCATCATACTAAAGACCACACCAGTTTGGTCTTCATATCTTCGACTCAATCTATTAAATTGTGCTAAGTTCACATTTTGTAGAATTGCCTTTTATTTCATGAATAAATTTGTGATTAAATTATTCTTTGTTTGATCTCACAAATGACTTGTATTTCTTTGATACAGCCCCAAGCTATTAATGAATCTAGTAAACGTATTGATTCATCATTACCTGCTGTGTATACTCCAATACAGACTGAATTTTAGGAGATATAAAGTGATTTTATTAGCTCATTTTCATGCCTGTCTATGTGTGTTTGCGCGTATGAGCACCAACCCCCTTAATAAAGAACACATTATAGGCCAATTTAACTCCTAATCTGGGTCACCAAGGTTTACTGACCTTTTTATACTGTTGCATTATCGCTATATCCGTTTAGATTAGTAGAGTCTTGTTTTAACTCAAATATGTGGATTTCTGTGAATATTATCTTTAGAATGATTTACTTCTTCTGAGAAGAGTTTAAATTACACTTTTACACACGAAATATACCCTTTGGATTAGTGCAATAACTAAATAATTAACGCAAGAGATAATTTACTGGATGCGTTTATGGGTAATATAGAGCAAAGGGTAATTATCCTTGTGATTTGATGTGGATTTTTGAATCTTTTCACTTTAATATAGTGATAATTTTGAAAATAAATATTGCTGATTCAGTTAATAACATATATAGACTCAATCTTTTTCAATTTTGTATGTTCAAATGTACTGTTATTCGTAGAAACCATCTTCATTTTTGCTCTCAATACCTTGGCTTTAATACATTTTGATCATTCTTGGCTTTTATATTACATTAATAAGAGAGAAATATTTTACCATAATAAAAATTGTAATAGGCTTTTTCAATGGTACGCAACTGATTATATAATCGCTTTCAATGAACCGACATTTTCATGGAACGAATCACTCGTACCAATCGTGACCTGCCTGTATACTGAGGGAAACTGGTGGCAATTTCACCTACGATGAAGTGAAGAGAAAGCTTTATCTTACATTGGAATTCACCACATAATGGATCCCAAATGACCTTCTCATGGCCAGATAGTTGTACTTTCCTATAGTTCTGTATAATATTTGTGCATATTAGCAATAATCGGATTCCAGCTAGCAGAATGGCACCAAGCACCAAGATTTAGCTTCACAAAGTTATGCTGGAATGTCAGACAAAGTGTCCTTCGTCGCTACCCTGTTAAGCTCCGGAAATAGTATCCTCTTGCGTACCGAAGTAATAGTAGATCTTTAAAAAAATTCGAGTTGGTCTTGATGGTCAAAGGTGAATTAAGAACTTATAAATGAAGTTCCCACAATGAATTTCATCAAATTTCATTTGATCCGGCTTAACGACAGTCCTCTTCTGTCAGGCTGGTTTGCGGTTTCAACCTCTTTTTCCTACTCCAGAACTCGAACCCATGTCGTTCGCATTAAACAGTCATAGGTTAACACTCGACCAAACGTCTGGCTACGAGGTGCTCATAGTAAACCTAAGCCTATTCCAATTTCCATTTTGTAATGAAAATATTGTGGATAGGGCAAAATTATGTCTGCCATTGACAGTACTACTAACTGCTTAATGAATAAGTAGTGATTATAGCTGCTTGACTTGCATAACACAGTTTAAAATAGTATTAATGGTGCTGACAGGAT